CCTGGTGCCCCGTGTACGGTCACCCGGTTGCTCCCAAATTCAACCTCCTCCGGTCCCATCCTCAGCACAGCAGGGGACACCGGGCAAATTTGTTCACTCTGCTCCAGGAACAGACCTTTTTTTGCCCAAAGCACAGAGGCTGCGGGGCTGGGCTGGAGCAAGGAGGTGCCAAACCCCGCCGGGCTGCACCGTGCCGTGCCCTGACCGCTGCCTCCCACTGCTTCGTGCCACCGCCTGCCTTCCTTTCTGCCTCCAAGCCTGTTTCTTTTTCTCTTTTAATCTGCGGGACTCCCCCAGCACTTCCTCTCCGCACTATTTTTAGGCTGGTTTTGCAGCAGCAAGGTGAATCCCGGCAGCCCACAAACCAGCAGTGCTGGCACGGAGAGGAGGCAGAACCACGCCGGAGAGCCTCGCGGCCAGCACGGGCTCGGGGCGCTGCTCTCGGAGCTTTCCATCCCTGCTCCGTCCCGCTTCCAGCTTTTCCTCTGCAGCTGCAGGGATTGCAGCTGTAGGAGGACAGAAAGGAAGAGCGGAGATCTCCATCTCGCTGGGGTTCAGAGCTAAAAGAGGCGAGCTCAAAGCCTGGCGCTTCCCAAAGACCGAGGGGTTGGTGGCTGTAGGGTGGCCAAAAAGACAAATTGGCTAAAGAAAGGGACATGGGGTGGTTTTGGAGGGCTTGGAGAGTTTGTGAAACATCTTTTGGGAAGACCTCGAGCTGCTGATAGCTGGGGGCGCGGGGGCTTCCTTCGGCCAGGCTGTGAGGAGGGGCACCCGCTGCAGGCAGGGGCTGCAGGGTGGACGCTGCTGGGAACCGCAGGGCGCATCCGCCCCGTCCCATCTGGGTGCTGGTTTTGCTGCCATCCGGGCTGAAAATGCCGGGTCCAGGTCCTGTCCCTGTCACCAGCCCCTCTCCAGGGCTGCAGAAGGGAATTGGGTGATGCCTGGAGGCTGCTCCGCTTTGCAGGGCGTCCTGGCCTCGCACAGCCTCCGGGGGTTTTATCCCAGGTGTATATCCCATGGCAAAAATGGAAAATAGGAGAAACGGAGCAGGCTGAGCCCTGCAGACATCCTTGATCCTCTCCAGCTCCATCCTGCGCAGAAATCCCCTCTGGCACCTCTTGCAGCCGATGCCTCTCGTCACCTGGGGGGAAACCTCCACAGTTCACACCCCAGCCCTGGCCGTGCAGGTTGTGGCTGCTCGAGGCTTTTTTATGGCACCTTTTTATAATAGGGAACATGCCCAGGAACCACCAGGAGCTATTCCCTTTTTTTTTTATTTCCCAAAGCCTCTGGTCCCCCCCCTGCTGCACCAGATTAATCCAGAGCATCACCCAGGTTCCCCCAGTTCCCCCAGGTGCCTGAGTGAAGCGCACGGGGATTTTAACTCCTTTCAGCTCTCCGGGTGCCGTTCCCGAGCTGGCATTTAACGGGGCACGTCCTGGGCTGGGACGCGTGTGCGTGCCTCCGTCCACTGCCCCACACCGGCCTGGGCTGCCGCCAGCTCATTGTGCTCGCCTTTCCTGTGCGCGCCAAGCTCGCTGCTTGGGGCAGGCAGAGAGGAAAAAAAATGGCCATTAAAATATTTGTGACCCCAGCCCGGTGGCGCTGGGGGAAGGAGGAGAAAAAGTGGCTTGCTCAGGGTTTTTTTTTCCCCTCCGAAACTTGCTGCTTGCAGTGAAATGGGATATTTAGGGTGGATGCATGTGTGGTCTGAGGACTTTATGGGACGTGGTCTGATCCTGCTCTGCAGGAACGACCCTCGGTGAGGCTGGGAGGGGGCAGAGGAGCTCAGGGCACAGCCTTCACCCCCCCTGATCCCTGGCACACTCGGTGGGCACCAGCTGGATCAGGGGGAAGCGGAGCGATGTGCCACCGGAGCAGCTTTTCCTTTCAAGCCCTGCCCTCGCAGGAAGCCGTGAGATGCATTTTCCATCGGGCTGCTGCATCCTCGTGGCTTGGCAGCCCCGCCGCAGCCCCAGAATTCGGGGTTTGGCAAGCACCAGGGAGCACGGAGCCCCCGCCCTGCTGCTTTGGGGACCTCTGCTGCTGCGCCCTTGGGTCCCCGCGCCTTTGGGTCCCCGTTGCCTTGCGGGGTGGGGTTCAAAGCCTGGGTTTTGGGATGCTTTTTGCCCGCTCTGCTTCTCAGAGCAAAGCGCAGGGCTCGCAGGAGCCACGGGCATCCTCTTGGCTGTCGCTGCAGAGCGCAGCCGCCAGCGCTGCCCCGGCCACCGCTCGCCGCAAGTTTCGGCTCTCTCAACAAACAGAGCTGGTAAATCTATTAATTTTACAGCTCTAATTGATGTATTGCTGTAATTACCTTTTATAACAAGGCAATTAAACCCTATTAAAGATTATTAGCTAATTAAAACTCCTCTGTACACACACGCAAAAGCCCCTTATGGGGGTGGATTGTTGGGGGGGAGCCCAACAATCAGCCAGGTCAGCGCCGAGCAGGGTGCGAGGGGACGGGGTGGGACATGGGGCAGGGAGAGCTGGGTCCCCTCCTGTCCCCGGCACCGCATCGCTCGTTAGCCTCTGGATGTAGGGGGGGGACCCTAAACACTCCCAGCCCCGTGCTGGGAACAAATCTGGGGGCTGGGAGCTGGTGACGGGGTGGTTGGGATGCGGGTGACAATGTCCTGGTGGCTTGGAAAGGGAAAATCCCCGCTCGGAGATGTTGTGTGCCTGCCTGGGAAAGGGAAGAGCTGGAGCCAGGAGTGCGGGGAGCTGGGGGGGTGTTTGGCTCCGTCCTGGCTTGTAGGGTGGCAAAAAACCTGCAGGGTGTGGGAAATGCGTCCCAGAACCCTCCAACAGCACCAAAACTGGAGAGCAGCAGGGAAAACTTTGGGAAAAGGCAGCTGAGAGGCAGCCCGCAGGGCTGGCCCCGTGGCACGCAGGGTGCCCCGTGCAGCCCTTGGAGCAGCGACGCTTTTTGCAGGCCAAAGAGCTTTTGGGGGCGGCAACGGGGCTGCGATTGCAGGGCTGCTGAGTGCCTCCTGCCCTCCGAGTCACCGGGGGGGGGCTGCAGCCCTGCCTGTCCCCCCCTTGTTAGGGGATGTCTCGTTTTGGCGGTGGCGAGGCCGTGTGGCTCCGTGCTTGGGGACATCTGCACCCTGAGTGGATTTTTGGGGGTGCCCCGTCCTGGCCCCAAAGGGGAGCAAACGTGGAGCAAGCGTGCGAGGCAGCCGGAGCCCCCCGAGGAGGGCTGCGTCCCGAGCAGCCCCCGTGCCCCCCCTGCTGCCCCAACCCCAAAAAGGGGCAGCCGGGGATCCCCAGTGGGACACCAGGAGCAAGGGGACGGCGGCGCCGGTGACCCTTGGCTGTGATTTTCGCTCTTGCCCAAGCCGGCCCCTCGGTGCCGTCCCCGCGGCTGCGCTTTCCCACGTGAGGCCGAGCAGCCCCGATCCCAGGGGATGCTCCGGAGCTTGGAGCCCCCTCCCCAATACGGAGGCATCCTGAAGGGGGGGGAAAACTCTACCCTCCTGCCCCCGGGGTGGCTTTTTTTAAGCCGGCACCGAGGTGGGGAGCGGACGGTGGCGGCTTCCATCCCACACTGCCCCGCGGCTTGGCCGCCACCGCACCCAGACCCCGCCTTCGGCAGCGAGGCCGTGGGCGTCCCGGGGGCCCCCCGGCCCCCCTGCTGCTGTCCCCATCCGTGCCCACATCCCCTGAGAGCGGTGCCGGGTCCTGGGGGGCACTGGGCTGGGTCCCACGTGGCCCTCGCTGCCCCCCGTGTGCATGGAGAAGGGGGCGGCTGTGTGGGGACCCCCCCGTTCCCCGCTGCACCATGCACCCAAGGGTGCCGCTGGGTGCACGGAGAGCCCCCGGGGGCTTTGGCTGCCCCTGACACCCTCCCAGGGACGGGGAAGGGGCTGCGGGGCTCCCACCCCGAGCAGCGCTGCGCCCAGCACCCCCCCTTTCCCCCCCCCAACCCTCTCCAAGTGCCGAAGGCAGGCATCCTGGTGCGTGGCTGTTGATTTTTGAAATTTTGACCCTGGATTTTCGTTGTGCTTGTGTGTGTCCTCCCCCCCTGCAACCCCCCCCGCCCAATATCCCGTTCTCTCTCCCCCCCCCCCTCTTCCCTTCCCTTCCCCGTCGGTGACTCATCAGCGCCGGATTAATCATTCATAACGAGCACGCGCAGGCGTGCGGCTGCGTGCGCCTGTTTGCCTCTGTTGCTCCCGTTGCTGCGTGAGTCATTCCCGGCCTGCCCGCGGCTTCGCCGCTCGTCGGCGATTTTGGAAAGGGACCGGGGCTGGATGGCGAGCCGGGCAGGATGGGCTGGGCCTGGCCACAGCTCCTTTTGGGGGGGCGCAGACGTTGCCCCCCAGCCCGATCCCGCTGCCGCGCAAAGGGCACCCGTCCCCTGCAGGAGGGACAAAGTCTGCAGAAGGAGCGGCCCCAACGAGGGGGGGGGGGGACACAGCCTGGGCTCCACTGGGGGTGGCAACTGGGGCATCCGGGAACTGGGGGTACTGGGAGAATGGTGGTGATGGGAGAACGGGGTTGGAGCTGGGCGCAGCTGGTGCGCAAAATTTGGGGGAAGTTAAAATCCTAGCGCAGGGAAATCTGGAGGAAAGGATAAAGCTGAGGGGGGGCTGCGGCTAGGGAGGGGGGCTAGGAAAGGGGTGCAGCTAGTGCTGGGGGAACTGGGCAAAATGGTGCTGGGGAAACTGGGGGAGCACCAAGCACTGCACCCCCTTCTCCAGGGGGGTCCCCCTGATGCCGAGGGGCTCGGGGGTTCCCCCGGGCAGGGGGTTCTGCGGGACCTGCTGCCTTGCATTTGAGTTCCCCAGCAGTGCCCTAGGGCCCCCATGATTTTGGGTCTCCAGAGCCCAGTTTTGGGGTGCTGGAGGGTCTGGTGCAGCCTGGGAGGTCCCACAGCAGGGGTACCCCGAGAACCCTGCAGGCACCCCAGGACCCCCATCAGCAGTCGGGGTGCAACAAGAGCCTGGCACTGCCCAGCCGGGTTTTGGGGAGCTGCTGCCGTGCGCTGGGGACGTGTGGGGCTCGCCACGGGGTTGCTGCTGGGTTGCCCACCCCAGGGCTGCTCTCCCGGGGCTGCTTTTCCTAGGGATGCTTTTCCAGCCATTCCCAAGCCAAGCCGTGGCCTGACGCAAGCCGGCTGTCTCCACCCCGTGCCCGAAAAACTCCACCCTCCTCCTCTTCCTCCTCCTCCTCCTCCTCGCAGTGCACAGCCCAGCTGGGATATAAGTCACTCGGAGGACCGGGGGCAGCCGAGACAGCCGGCTGGGTGGCGTTGGGCCCCGTGCCGTGTCCCGTGCCGTGTCCTGTGCCGTGTCCTTCGCCTCGACGCCGGGCACCATGGCGACGCCTTCGCAGAAGAGGAGCACCCGCAGCGGGGCTTCGGGGACCCCCTTGTCCCCCACCCGCATCACCCGCCTGCAGGAGAAGGAGGACCTGCAGGAGCTCAACGACCGCCTGGCCGTCTACATCGACAAGGTGCGCTCGCTGGAGCTGGAGAACGCCGGCTTGAGGCTCCGCATCACCGAGTCGGAGGAGGTGGTGAGCCGCGAGGTGTCGGGCATCAAAGCCGCCTACGAGTCGGAGCTGGCGGACGCCCGCAAGACCTTGGATTCGGTGGCCAAGGAGAGAGCGAGGCTGCAGCTGGAGCTCAGCAAAGTCCAGGAGGAGCACAAGGAGCTGAAAGCCCGGTGAGCACCCGGGGGGGTTGAACCGAATGGGGGGGAGCGGGGAGGGAGAGGCAGGGGGAGATCCAGGACGGGCACGGAGAGGGGAAACGCGTGACCCGGCTGGAGCGAGGGGGCCGGGAGAGGAGGGGAATTTCTCCCGGCATTCCCGCTCCGTTTCGCAGCGCCATCTTCGCCCCGGGGTGCTCGGGATGCCCTTGGAGGGTGGTGGGGTCCTGGGGCTGCTTCGAGGCTGGTCGGGTGCTGAGCTCGCGGCCCCCCCTGGGCGTTCGTCATCTTGGAGCTGTTCCGAAGCGCGATCCTGCGCAAGCGGGGAAGCGGTGCCAGCCAGCTGGCTCCGTCCTGCCCACAGACCTCGCCTGCTCGTCCTATTTTCCTCTGCTGTCTTTGGCACGGCTTGAAGGACCTGCTCCGGTTTTGTTTTGCCTTTAACCCTCCCCGTGCCGAGCTGTGCCCGCTCGGCGGGGTCCCCTGCTTGGTGGGGGGGGGACGGGGACGGGGACAGCGCCCACATCCCGCGTGCCTGGTGCCACGCTCCAGGTCTGCTTCAAGGCTCAAATCCCCCCCGGCCACTTCCCTGCCGTGGAAAATGCCCCCTGCCTTCTGCTGCCCCCTCCCTGGGGCTGTGGCAGGCACCCAGCGTAGGTCCCCCCCCCTCAGATATGGGGACCAGCCCCTGGCTTTCCCCTGTCTCCGCCAAGCCCCCGCACCCAAACCCGGAGGCACCGTGGCCGTGGTTCCCCGCGGGTCCTTTCCCTCTCCAAGGCAGGGTTTTGGGTTGGGCGATGGCCAGGTGAAATCCCAATTCCCCCGATTGCTCCTTTGCCCCTTTTACCGGCCACCTCATTTTTGAGCCCGATAGGCTAACGAGGCTAAAATTAACTTCTTCGGAATATGCCATAAATAATCTACCTACTGGGAAGGGAGTGACTGCGCAGCCTTCCACAGCTGCCTCTCGAACAACCGTGCAGCATTTTTTATATTTAGCTTTCGGTTTCCCATGCGCCGCGGCGGCTCCGTCCCCAAGATAAGGCGGCTGCACCCATCCTGCGTCGGGCTGCTCCCTGCCTGCGGGGTCCCTGGGATTTGGGATCGTGCGGGGCGGGCAGAGCCGTGGGCTGGGAGCCGCCGAGATGCGGAGCTGAGCTGTCGGAAAAGCTTCTGCTGCCTTATGCAAGCCCCGAATTATCTTGGCTGCGATCTCTCGAGGGCTGTGCCTGGAAAAAATGCCCGGCGTGCGGCCGTCCCCACGCCGCCTGGCTGGGAGTGGCGTGCTCAGCCTGCCTGGCCGCTCGGCGAAAATATGTTTGGTTTTGTCCTGAGTGGGGCCGTGCTCCCCAGGCACCTGGAAAGCACTCCCCTGAGGCTGGGGGGGTGGGTTCCTGGTGAGCAGCTCTGGGTTTTTTTTTCGGAGGACAGGTTGCAGTTGCGGTTTTGGGGGAGTTGCGCTGTTCCGTGTCATCTCCGAGTCTCGGCGGATGAGATGGGGACAGCTCCGTGCAGCGAAGCCGGTGCTGTCCCTCTCATGCTGGCTGCATCAGAGCCTCTCCCCATAACCCTAAAAAAAATCCCCCGGGTTTTTTTTTTGTCAGCCTTGGGGCGCCGGTGGCACCCGGCACATCCTAACGGGGACCGTGCCGCGTATCTCCGGCGGGGCAGGCGCCCCGGTCCTCATTATCAGCGCCCACAGCCCCACCACAGCCCTCGCTTGGGGTTGTCTGGGCTGTGCAGGGCCGGGGGGGGGCAGCGAGACGAGCCCTGGGCAGGGTGCCCGGCGGGTCTGAGTCAGCGGGGGCTCCGTGATGGGGGGGGGACACGAGGCGAGGGCGTGCGAGCAGCCCCCTCGCCCTTGGGTGCGCACACACAAAGGGATGCTCGCGCTGCGGAGAGGCACCCAAGGGTGCTGCGCGTGATTTGGGGTCCCAGTGGTTGCCCCGTGGGGTCCGGTGGCACCGGTGTCCCCAGCATCTGGGCTTCCCTCTCGGCTCCCAGCCCGATATGGGGCCGCTTGTGCTGCGTGTAAGGCGTGGGGTGCGGCGAGGACAGCCCGTGCGTGACTCACGGGTGCTGGCAATGCCCGGAGACTCCCTTTTTTTTTTTTTTTTTTTTCCAGAGCCATGTGGCGAGCCAGGATTGGGCCAAAAGCACCATGTTTAGGGTGTCACCGGTGTCCCCAACCTGTGCTGTTGGGGGTCTCGTGGGGCACGGGGTCCCTCTGGAGCAGGGCCTGCGCATCAGCCCCTGGTTTATGGGGTGCAAACCGTTTGTAAGCCCCCATCAGGGAGTGCAGGGGGGGTACGGATACGGCCCTTGGGTGCCCCGGGAGAGGAGCCCCCAGGTTTCCAGAGCCCCACGGGCGATGGTGGCTGTGCCGCAGACAGCTCCCTCCGAAACAGGAACCAGGCCCTCGTTAGGAGCGCGGCTGATGAGCGATGGCTTCCTGAATTGCAGCCCCTAACCCGATTAAGTCGGTGCCTTGGCAGCGTCTCTTCCTCCACGGGCCCAGATCTCATCCCGGGCCTTAATGAGGAGAAAAATAATAATAATAATAATAATTAATAACAATCTCCCATCTTCCAAAGCTGGTGAGGGGGGAAGCTTGCTAAGGGCAGAGCAACCAAACCCCGGTGGCAGAGATGGAAGGGGTTGGGGTCAGCCCTGCAGCCCCCCCCCAGTTCCAGCCCTGCGGGTGGCAGGGGTGGAATTTGCCCCGTTCGATGCTGGGCTGGATTTTGTCCACGGCCAGTTCTTCCCGGTGACCCCGGAGGCCGGTGGAGGTGGAAAGCAGCCACGTCCCCGTGAGCTGGTGCTGCCCGTGCCGCGCAGCCGCCTCCTTTCTCCCGGCACGTTTGGCGTGGGGAGAAACCTCCAGCTCGGGGGCTGCTTCCCCTGACCCCACAGATGCCAGCAGTGGGATCTGCCCTTTTGGAGCACACAAAACCCGCTTTGTGCGGCCCCGATCCTTGCAGGGAGCCGGCGGCGCCACCGCTTTGGGGCTGCCCCAAGCCCCCCCAGCCCCTCCCGGGTGCCTCTGCCCACACTTTGCCACCGACCCCTCGGCTCCAGCTCCCCAGCGCTGGTTTTTTTCCCCCCCCCTACACCTTTCCTCAGCCTGGCCAAGGGGCTCTGTATCAAAACCCGCTCTGCTCCGAGGCTGCTGCTTGCTTTTAGCCACGCTCCTCGTGTTCCCAGCGGTGCCGGGGGGTTATTTTTTCACCCCCACAAGCACCCGTCCCCCCCTTCGCTCCCGGCCCCCTGCGCGGTCAGCAGGCGGAGGAAATCGCCGCGGCGCTTTCGTTTTTGCAGCCCCACTCCCTGCCTGTTCCTCCTAACAGGGATCAGCAGGACGGGAGGAAATCCTGTCGCTTGCGGCGTTTCTCAGCCCCAAAACCGGGGGGCTGAAGAGGGGGCGATCGCAGAGGAACGGGGCTGGTTTTGGCACGGGGAAGCGCCCACCCCGCGCAGCGGGTCCCAGCCCGCCCTGGCCGTGTTTTTCGGCCTCGCTCACGTCACTCCAGCTCTCTGGATCCCATTAACGCCGAAATTTCAGAGCCTGGCGGCAGCGCGAGCCTTTTCCTGGAGCTGCGCTCGGCGGAGGCACGCGAGAGGAGTTGGGGTGGGGCCGCTGGGCTCCTGCCAGCTCCTTTATTTTTACTTTTATTTTTTTATTTATGTATATTTTTTTTTTGCTTAAATTTGAGCCCCTTGGGAGCTGCAGTTTCCTTCCCTGCTGCTGCCAACCGGGACAGGAGGAAGCCACCGGAGCTCTCCCTTGGGTCCCATCCAAAGCCAGGGCTGGCATGGGAAGGGTCTCCAGGGAGCTTGGGGGGGGGGTGGGAGCTGGGAATCGCCCCCAGCCCTGGCTGCAGCCCCCTCCCCTGCCCTCTGTGCTTTCCTTAAGCCCATCAATTCGGCACATTTCCGAAGGCCAGCGTGTTGTGGGTTGGCTTCCCACCTGCCCTGCTCCTCTCCCCTCCAACCGAGAGCTGAATGGCCCCAGTGTGAGGCTGAACAACTGCTGGGGGTGCCCTGCGCTCCCCCCCCTGTGCCACGGTGGCAGCTGCAGCCCCTGCGCTGTCCCCAAGGGCTACGGGGACTTGGGAGAGGCTGCTTGGGGTGGAAAATTGTTTGAGGTACACTGAACCCACCCCACAGACACCACAAAACCCAGCTGGGGTCAGGGTTCCCCCGTTGTGGGTGTTGCTGAGTCAGCGCCCGACTGCGCCTTGGTTTGCTGCCGTCCCGGTTCCTTTCGACAAGGACAAGTGGGTGCTGCGAGCGGGGCCTTTCAGCTTATCCAGTCCTTCTGCCACGTTCTTGGCACCGTTCGGGGCTGCAAAGTTCACTGTCGGCAGGACAAAGTACCCCAACGGTTTGGGTACGTGTCCGAAACCTCCCTTCACAGGGGTGCGGCACTGCAGGTGTCGGGGCCAGATCCGTGCCAAGATATGCCCAGGGTTGGGTTGAGGGCTTTCCTGGAGCTTTCAAATTCTTTTATCAAGGCCACGAGCAGCTCCCCAGCAGGTCTCCAGGGGGGTGCATCCCACAGTGGGGTCACCCCATCCGTTTGCTCCTGCTTCCAACCTCCACGTCCTCGTCCTGTGCCCACCCCGGGGCTCCCCGCCGAGGTTTGGATGGGGGCTGAGCACATCAGCCCCGCTTCGGGGGGGTTATTTAACAGCACTTTGGCCACGCTCTTAAAAAGCCCCAGCTCTGAGCCACCCAGATAACAGCCCAGGCTCTCTCTGGGGGTGTTTAAACCCCGGCCTCTGTAGGGTTGGGAGGCAGGAGGAGGCGCGGAGCGGGGCCGTGAGTCACGCTGAGCCCCGGGGCTGAGGCTGGGTGCAGCTGGGCCGGGCTCCTCTGCCTTTTCGGGAGGCCCCGGCCACTCCATCAACCACGCTCGCCTGCCCCTTCCTTCCTGGTGCCACGGCAGCTCACGTGCCGGGGGGGTCCCCCCGCTGCCAGCGGGGTCTGTGGGGTGCAGGGACGTGGCCCCGCAG